AGGGTTGCCTATATTTAAATTCAACAAATTCAGGAAGGATATGGGACTTAAATGAAACTTGACATTTTTAATATTTGTGCCTGAAGATTATGAAATTGCGGGGGAGTATTGAAGCAATTTCAATAAGCCTGTTTAGAATGTCATATTAATTATAAAACATATGACATTATTTACTAAATGTAATTGTTTAGTTCAGTTTGTATTGGAGTGTGTTCTGTTCTGTCTATTAAAAGTTAAATTTAATTTCCAAACAAGTCTTAAAGTTTCCTACTAATAACATATAATGCATGCGTTGCCGGTATAAAGTAGCATTTCTACTCTCTAGGGAGTAAAATAAGCTGTTGTAAACAGTCGTAAATTTCGATTGTGGCAATCGTATCTACCAAAATTATTTATCGATTGATATAGTTAAGGCGTTAGCCTATTGTTGTCGATCGCTCGACATATCGATGGTAAAATGTACTGTAACACAAATCGTAAGAGACGAAATTATTGAATCACTTACTTAACAGCTGCTTGTTTTCATTAGCAGAATTGAAAACAAGCTGAAAGTCGTTTTAGAGGTTATCTATACATACAATTTACTATTTCTTTGTCTAGCTTAGTATGTTAATTAATGATGCAATATGACGAAAAATATAGTTCACCACATGGGTAAAAAGTGATTTTTTAACCCTCGGTCATTTTCCGAGCTCGGCTTCGCCTCGATCGTAAAACCATCGATGTATAATAACTCCCGATGTATCTATCGATGTAGAGTTATTATACATCGATGCGTAAAACTTGACCTCGGGTCCAAAAGAGCCACTTTAGGCCCTAGTGATGAAATATACTATTATTTGCTGATGACACTGCAATTCTTGAAAGCGGTACAAGTTAAGAACAGATGCATGATGATGCTAAATATGATCTCCTTTTAATGAAAAAATGGTTTGACCAAAATGATTTATCCTATAATGTTTCAAAACCCAAATTCTTACCAATATCATTAAGAGATAATACTGACTATAACTTGTACAACATTTAAAAAAGTGGTAACTTTTAGCGAATTTCCCTATAGGGAAGTAGCTATTACCGTAGGTCTCATGGTAAGACTTAGGCCCGGGACCGATTTACTTTTTCATTTTAATGTCCCCAGAGGCCAAAAACACCATTCGTTCAAATTTTTATATATGTATATATATATATATATATATATATATATATAGATTTATATATATATATATGTGTCCGTGAACACGATAACTTGAGTAATTTTTATCCGATTTTGATGAAATTTGGTTTGAAGGTGTAAGGCGGGATAAACTTGAATGAGTTCGCGATCCAGCATGATCGGACCATGGGAACAGGGTTTTATGGGGTAAAAATTGGTTTTTCTCACTTCTTACCCTCAAAACACAAAATTTCCCAATTTTTCTCTAAACCTTCTTAAAGAGCTTAAAAAAGCAAACAATTCAGTATATCAAAGTGTTTTTGTACGGTTATTGGTTACGGAGAAAACGAAAAAAAATGGTAAATTTAAAATTCCCATGTTATTCTTATGGAGAATATTGTAAAATGTTGTAGTTCGCTTGTTTATGGATATATTTTGATCAAACTTGGCAAATTTATTTATTTTATAGTAAGCTATCAATATTTTACTAAAAACACACTACTTTATTAGTTTCCTTGTAGCAGCAAACCTAGGTACTCGTTAAACCTAATGTTATTTAAATAGATCAATTGAAAATCAATTCGGCCAAATGGAAATTCGCTTAGACGGCAGGTTTGCTGCGGCGGGGGTATTTAAATATGCATTGTGCCTGTGAGCCCATTGAGAAAGTAAGTTATTATAAATATTTAGGGGTAATGTTTGACAATCGGATGAAGTGATCTGATCATATAAAGTATTTAGCCTCTAAACTATGTAAATTCGTTTTTGCATTTAGGAAACTGTGTGACATATTAACAACTCAAGAAATCAAACGAGCATACCTCAAAATTGCCTAAATTCAGTCATTATAAGCTTCAGCCGTTACAGCATTCTATAGTCTGTGCTTCAGCCATACAAAAATCAGATTCCATTCATAAATATTCCACTGAACATTCCTATATTTAGTCTTTCAAAAAAAAAAATAATCCACTGATAGCGGTTGAGTCTACGTACAGGCTTCCAGCCCAATGTAGGCTTATTTCCCAATGTTTTATATTGAACATTGCCTTCTATGAATTATTTCTAGTTTATAAGAACAATTTTACTTTTGTGCAATAGTAAGTAAGTTTCTTTGTATTTTTGTTTCACTGAAAGTGGATGTTCATGATTTAAATTGTTCACATTTTGTTGGAAATAAACTTTATTTTTATTTTATTTGATTATAAATGATTTGGAGTTATGATTAGTATCATGGACCTTATGTAGACTAGGTTAAAATAATATATGTTTACACATTGTACTATGCAATAAGGCATAGCTTATGTAAATATTATAGCTTATGTAAAAGATTATAGCAATGATTTTTGACAGGGTTGAATAAAAAACTTGTTAACGGAATGCATTTTACATATTTTTTTATTGAAAACACAAACAATTAACAAATCCCAAAAATAAAACTTATTTGTGCAGTCTAAGTAGTCTACTTGACTTGTAAAGGTGACTTCCCAACATTGGGTTCCCCAAGGCATTACATTTAAATATAACTGAAAAATACTGGCCATAACAATAAAATAAAAATTATATTCAAGAACATGGTTGATAATTGTAAAATAAAACACATAATTTATGTACGGTTTTAAGTCAAATAAACATTAAAAAGGATTAAAATAAACAGGAATTACAGTATTAACATACATCCTAAATTACAGTAAAAACAATGTACATTTTTTTAATTAGCTTACAGATCGTATAGAAATTATGTAAGCCATTATCATAGTTCAAAATACTTGTTTTTGCACATCTACAGAACTCCCTGATAATACAGTAAACCTTATCTTAATCATTTACAAAATATCCCTTAATGAATTTTTATCCATTTGTTTCATATATAAAAACTGTGATTTTTAAATCATAAAATTTATGATGTCAAAAACTTATATGATGTATAAAATCAATATTTCATAACATACGAAAACACTAAAATATGTACACGAATATATACATTTAAAATATTTATAATTCCCCAAATCATTTATTTGTATGTGCCCAGTTTACAGATGAAAAAATAACAATTAACTACAAGCACTTAAAATAACCAAACTTACGATTTACTAATATACAGGGTGTCCCAAAAGTAAAAAGCCAAACTCCGGGAAATGGATCCATGGGTGGAAAGAAAGAGAAAATCAAGAATACATTTTTTTCCAAAATCGCTTCGTTAAGCAGATATCCGCCATTTTCTATTTTACATGCCATTTGTATTTTAAATTTTAGGTAATTTTAAGTGCTGAATAAACTAGTTTTCTTGACATTTTTTAATAAAATCTGCCGTTTTTTTTGTAATTTGGATTAAAAACAATGTAAATGGCCGCCATTTTGAATTTGATGAAAATTACTGTTTTTCTAAGATGGATCTCTTCTACCTTAACATAGAAACCAAGATTCATTGAGATCGGTTGACACAATTAAATGATAAAAATGTTTATGTGAAAAATACAAAATAGTGGATATCTGGTTAACGAAGCGATTTTGGAAAAAACTTTTGATTCTGGATATTATTTTTATTTTAACCGATGGAAACATTTCCCGGAGTTTGGCTGTTTACTTACGGGGCACCTCTATTTGATCTATAACTACATTAAGGCCTTTGGTCGAAACAAGTGATATTTGACTGAAACAAGCACATTGATTGAATATGTTATTTCCGCTGTTAAGATATTCTTCTTGATTAATGCTAATAATGCATGGATTGCAGAGTTTAAGGAAAAATGCAGCATTTTATGTTAATTACCTGTTGGTTATGTTCCATTCATTCTAATAGATTAAAAACTACCAGAAAATATCACAAAATAAACTGAAATCACAGAATTGAGGAGGAATAACCATAAAATTAAGTTTAACACTTTACCAAACCCGGGAAAACTATTAAATACAGTCTATTATGCTTTATTGCCTAAAAGATTTTAGCCAGTGGTTTCTGTCTCATTCTGAAAAGACCTGTTCTGAAAGTGGATAAAAATGTATTTCCTATGTTAAAATATTTGTATGGAAATAAATACAGGTCAATTCACATAACAAGAAATACAAAAAACCCCATGGGTTAAGTCCTTTATTAAGGACTTTTCAGCCTTATACAATTAAGAAGTTAAACTAACTAAAAATTATGATAAAATAAACTCTATTAAGTAGTTTGGTATACATCAATATTATGAGGACTAGTAAATGTGATAAAACACAAAAGAAAAAGAAATATCATAAAAGGACATTTTATGTGTCTAAGATAAAACACAATAAATTAGTTAAAATAAATAGAGGATACATCTGCCTGTACCTACTAGGAACTTTAACAAAATTCACTATTATTCAAATTGAACTTATTGAAATAACAATGAATCTAAAATTTCTTATACATCTTTGGACAAAACAAAATCAATTTAATTTCAAGCAAAAAATGATAATCTGAAGCACTATGAATAACTATCATCAATGTACACAGACCTAAAAATTATAAAACTGGTCTAACACATTAATTTTAATTATTATATAATTGACTTTTATTTAAGGACTTTATAATGACTGTTATAGCTTTGTGGAAAATTTGGAAAAATTACTACATTGATAACTTAATAATGAATTATCAAAATGATGTTTAAGTGTCTAAACTTATCTCAGCAGATTGTAGTTAATAATCTGAGCTGTAATTTATTTTACCACCTGAACTAACAATTTAAAAATAAATAGACTACATTAACTGATAATAATTTTAAAATAAACAGAAATAAAAATAAATAATGTTTTTTATATGCAAATGTGTAAAATCTGTTTTATAATTGACTAATTTCCTAAATGGATTTATACTTGATACAAACTGAAAAAGATTAAGGTTAACTAAATCAAATCATAAACAATAATTACCACACAACAATACAATGCGTCAATTTACAACTCATGAAAACATAACTCAAATACAATTTTAAAACATTGTAGATCATTATACCTTGATTAAAAAAAGCAAATAAAACAAAAAATGAACATTAGTTAATATACGAAATCAACAAAGGTCTAAAATGCTTGAATACACAACTGTACACGGAAGGCGAATTGCTAGGTACTGATACCTAAAGGAGAATGTTCACAGTCCAGGTTGTAGATGTGTAGATGTGTAGGTCTACCCCAGTGCTACATCTAGACTCATCATCACCAGAAATCCGACAATAGCTCCCCATGTAGCCACTTTGCCATTGCCACTGCAAATATACACTGGTTTAGTAAAATGGAAGAAAATTAAATAACATAGTAATTAAGACAACATTTATCATTCTTCTGCAACCCCAGAGGAGTAAAACAACTGTAAACAACGTTGGTAATAAATGAAATTGAGACGAATTGTATTTATATTGGATGTCAGTTTGACTTATAAGCAGTGTTTGCTTGTGCAGTATGTATGTATGCTTGTGGCACAAAGAAAACGGCTTCGAAATTTCCTTCAAATGTTGTAGATAATTTATTTCTGGCCTAAAAACATGTTTAATGCAGTTCAAACTGCCAACAAAAATCTAATTAACGTAAAAAAATGAAAATCAATTTTTTTACATTGGCCTTATGGGTTGCCAAGTAACCATGTTGGTTGAACAAAATAACAAGGGAAAAGTAAAGAAAAGACTTGTAACATGTGTTTATAACAATCCATCGACAGTATACTAGCAAATTACCAAATACAGTCCAAATGGAAAAACATCCGTTGTTGCTATTGAGCAAAGATTACATTGAAGATTACTCGATACAGAGGTACAATGAAAATGAACTACCGAACCGAGCTATTGCTCACACTTCCAGTTAAACAAAAATCTTACTTACTATTGCAAAAAAATGTATATATACACTTAGAAATAATGTCAAAGAATTATAGGTTAAACACAGAAAGCGATATTTAATATTAAGCCTACATGTGCTGGAATTCGGTGCATATGCTCAGTCGCTATAATACCAGTGAGTTACTATGTGTTGAAAAACAAGAATATAACGAAATATTTATGACGAAACTGAATAAAAATGAGTGTAAGAGAAGTTGTAGGCCACAAAATCTTACTTCAAAATCATCACAATTTATCGATCTTTTTCAACTACGTCCATAAATCCGCGACAACTGGCAACGTCAAGTTTTTGCCCTTCACGGTAGGGTAGGACAAAACAACTAGGTATTTTTCGGTGGCTCATTCCAACTTCGTATTTTTCAATCTAAAACTTGCAGTGTTAATGAACAGCCAATTAATGTTATTTCACTGTATCCAATGACATAGTCAAACTGATGGTAGAAACTGAACAAGAACACCAACGCGGCCGACGGAGGAACGGCTCGCGAGATGTTGATTTTGAACCCCGCGCGGGCCCCAGCCGCATTCCGGCGGCTGTTTTGGGAAGCGCTCGGTCACCCGCGGCGGCGGCGCCCTTTGGCGGCGAGGAGTTACGACCTACGGGCGAGATAGCATCGCCGTCCTGCGATCTGGACGTTGCAACTCAACCTGGACACGCATCGTATAAAGAAAACACAATTAGTATTGCTAATCTGTGTATTAACAGTTTGAAGACGTCAAGTTTTGTAGGGATTTGATTTGATCATATACAAACATCAGATCTCCAGCAAATCGGGGGATTTAAAAATCTTACGTATAAACGAAATTGAATTCGCACCTGCAAAGCCTATTTGTCTTTTCCCTATCTACGTATATTTTGACGGGTTAAACACATCACAAGGGAATTAACTGATGAATGTGAGGAGTTGCGTGTTTGATTGAATTATATGCAATCGCAGCAAGATCCTCCAGTGTCATGGGAGTCCTTCGACGACAAAGGGTACCGAATTTATGTAACGACTACCCCAAGGCAGTAAGTGGGGGGAGGGACTCTTTCCATTTGCTTTCCCATACCATAAAATAAACTATTATCCCAATTAGTGACAAATTAGTCCAGTTTGAAGCCTAGAAAATGTGTAAATACGAAACGTTTCACTCCAAACGAATCGTGCGTTGGCGACCAACAAACAACGACTTCTTTGCTCATTTTCTCACAAGGAAGTTAAACAAATCACAATTATAACAACCAAATAACGAATTGCTTATTGATTTGAACTATTCTATGTCCAACGCTGTTCGCTGTTGATTGTTGAAGGACATTGACTACGCGGTGAACGAGCTCGTCTCAGATACATGCAGAGCGTCGTAATTGGCCCGCGCTGTATGGTGTTTTTGACCCCGCCGCGCGCCGGCCGATTTTCAATACTAATTAAGAGTTTAAGCGCTGTTTGCTCGCGTGGAGTGTTAATTAACGGCTGTGAAGTCCACGCGATGTCTCGTCGCGGTCTCAAACCCCGTAGTCCACGCATCGATATACAGTATGTATGCGCTCTGAATGCCTGGGAAAACAGTCTGTCGTCTCTCCAACCACTCGAGAAATATGGAGCAGAGGGGAGAAGTATTGCCATCTTTAACATTTTGTTTTTTAGATCCTATTATATTGCATAGCTTTCATGCGCAGTAAAGTAGTGAGCCGGTTATTTTTCCTGGCTATTATGATGTGTCAAAACCTGAAGGCAGTCATCGGGAACAACGGTTCTTGGGAAATGTACTAAAACCGATAGCCGACTTTGACATTTGACTACCGGTAATTCGGAGCCAACAGGGTAGAGGCCTTTTGGCAGCATGGTGTGACGATCACAGCTACGTGTCGCGGAATCGAAGGTTACCAAAAGTTACTTTCATTGTTTATTCGCTAATATTAGTGATGTGTATAAAACCCGTCAAGACAATGGAAACGAGATTATTCAACATCAGTGAACATTTGTTGCAATCATGGAGAGACATTAGTGGTCATCCTCAAGAATCTTATGGGAGGATTCATAGGTGCTTTTTTGAAATATCATTCATGGCTGCCGGATTGCCAAAGCATGCCACCTGTTGGACAACAATAGAATATTTGTTTGCATACTGACTTAAAAGTTTCAAGATCATCCACCCACACCGGCATCAAGCAAGTCTGTAAACCAAACTATTTGCAGATTTTCCCCGACACAAGGTTTCCATGGCTTTGCTTCTATACCAAGATTAGACCTCTAGGTCAGACTGTCACTGCTCCTAGCAATATTAAAAGTAAAGAAGACGTACTTCTTGATTGAGCGTATTATGTATTTCTCAATAATGTGTCTACTCTACCAAGGAAGGTGATGTACATGAAGATTGCTTGAGGAAGGTACTACTTCACTCGAATAACCCATTTTCGACATTGAATGACATTTTTGAAGCATTGCCTGACCGTGCACATTCTTTTGGAGCATTTATTTTCAGGGCAGTGCCTTTTGGAACAGTATTTGACCAGTCACATTCTTTTTGGAGCAACACCTTTTGGAGCAGATCCTGACAATTTTGACTGTTTGACTAGCCACAATCTTTTGGACCAGTTCTTTAGAGGAATATTCTTTTTGGAATACTGCTTTTAGTAGTAATGCCTTGCAAAGCTTTTGGATTAGTACCTTGGAGGAACAGTCGTTTTAGAACAGTGTTTTCTGGAATATTGCCTATTGGAGCAGTGCCTGATTAGCCACATTATTTTGGAGCAGTACCTTATAGGAACAGTCACTCTGGAAATAATCAACTAACTGGTTAGAGGTCAGACCTTCTAGCTCAACTGAGTAGTTCCATGTTATAAAATGCAAACAAACTGATGAACCGTGAGAACATTTAAGTCGCGAAATCTGGTGCTTGCAACGAAACGTCTGTAAAACGTGAGAAAAGTATTTTGATATTGGCTTCCTGGAAGGGACCGGATAAACCGAGGTTGGATATCAGGGGTTGTACTGTAGTTTCATATTCTTTAAGTTTTCTGTTCAACCTAAAAATGTCCAATTGTAACCCAAAATTCAACAGTAGCCTAAGATATTACAGGGTGATACACGGGAGGCCCCCCCAAAGGTGTATGGTTCTGATCAGTGGGACTTAAAATGTCGATTGTCTGTCTATGACAGTTTTGTGAAAACCTGTGAGTCTACTACAGCTATGCAGAGACTGTTTCATGCATAGTTTGATGTCAACCCACATGGCGTTGTTCTGAATCCTAACGCCTCGTTTTCATGACCCGTGGTAGGGCGAAATCGTCAATCTCCTTGACCAGTGAACGGATTTGCGAATCTGACTGTTCTCACGGCGCGAGGTGAGACACTTCTTCACCTCGATTTCAGTTGCTTTGGTACCTCTCTGTATGTATACTGTACACAAGGAGGAGCCCATTCTTTTGTAGGCAAACTATTCGGGCTTGTACACTTAAAATGTTGCACTTCCAGTCATACTGGTCTTCAAAGAAAGTGTCCTATAGGGCAACATTAGGGGTTTTCTATTCCTCTTTAAAACTTTTAGGATAGTTTCAATGCTTAAATGCTTGATAGTTCTAAGCACGATTGAATTTATTACTTAAATTGCATCATACACTTCGTACTTCGTAGAGTACACACTTTGTACAAAAATGTGTGTAGAGGAAGGCTGTAATGATGGCAAAAGGTGAAGTTGTGACCAAGTGCCAGTGTGTCTAAATTGTGTTTGGACGATGAAAAAACTCTTCTTTGTTATGGTTATTTTGTTTTGTGGTATCACGCTAAATGTGTAAATATATTTAATTTGCTGTGAAGATATTTAATGAAATTAGGAAGATAGAGGAGCATGTGAAGTGGTTCTGTAATCCCTGTACTAGAAGGATCAAGGACCATATCGTGCATGACGAACCTCCGATGACAAACTTGATTGAATGAAAAGTAAGGTAGCAGCTTTCTATAAAATCAGACTTAACCTTGAGAAGAAAATTAACATTCTTATAAAAACAGCATAAGGTTGGACAAAATCAAATTATGGAATTACACAACATTGAGGTTAGTTCTAAGCCGGAAGTAGACATTTTGGATTCAAGTTAGAGAATTGAATTTCCGATGACGTCACCAGCAGACATCAACAACCCGACAGAAGTTATGAGGTTGCCATTGGTGGATATAAATGAAGACAAAATTCAAGAACCAGCGAATCTGCAAAAAAACTCTGGCAGGGAACTGAGTGAATAAAGGAACCGAAACGGACTTATGATTTCGGAACGGAGTGAAGCTGTAGTAGAAACCAAACTGAAAAGTGGAATGAAAAGTGGAAATGAACCTGAACCTGGAATTGAAACTGCAAGTCATCGCAACTCAACGAATCAAGATGTACGAAAATGA